GGGAGAGTAGGTGGGGGTGGGGGAGAGCAGGTGGGGGTGTGGGGGAGCAGGTGTTACACAAATCCGTGTTTCGACACTGTTTTGTTTTATTTTGTTTTGTTTCTTGTTTTTTGAGATCCATAAAAATGCTTCCTGCCATAGGAAAGCTGTGGTGGTTTGTTCAGATTTTGCCTCACTGGCTTTATATTTCCTTAGGTTTTACAGGTTTACCCTTGCATTAAAGTTTGCATTATTCTAACTATCTGTTTAGAAGAAAAATTCTCACAAATATTGAAATTCTTCTTTTGGATTCCCACTCCTTCCGTCCAGGTTATCCAGATGAAGTACGTGCCCATCATCGTCATTTTCATTGCCATTGCTGCAGCTGTGGTACAATTTATAGTGGCCATGTCGTCGTCTGTATGACAGTGCTCATGTTAGCTGCACTGCATGGATATATGCTGAAAATACTCGACCCAAAATATGGCAGGACAACAATAATCTCTGAATTAGCTATTCGCTTGATGGTGTTTGTGGCAAATTTCCTATCTGCCTACCCAGGGAAACTTCGCCAAGTGGTTCTTTTGAGTCTTTGATTGAGAGGGGACAGTCTTGAGGCCAGAACAGCCCCTTGGCAGAGTCTGTTTTCGTTTGGCCAGTACGTAGGCATTTTCTGCGACCTTGTTTCACCTGTGCTCATTAGTAGATATCAAGGGTGGCAGGTAATTCATCAAGTGTAATTTGACTGCACTGAATCAGCATTATCAAAATGCCTGGGAACAGGGAATTTTTTCCCCCATATTCCTATGATACCAGCAGACAGCCTTGTATGACGGCGTAAATTACATGCGTGTTAGCTGTCCAGACGGGCATTTTGCATTTCCTCCAACATTTTCTTCCAATAATCAGAACACCAAGTTTGTTCATGTTTTGTTATACACTCTCGAAACAGGTGTAATTTATTGTGGCCTCTCAGTCAAACGAGAGCTGTTACAAAGGTTCACAAATTGTACAATAAATATATTTAAAGATATGTGAACAGACATTTTCCATTGCACAAGGACACCACAAAGCTCTATAAATTTATCAAAATGCACATTTAAGAAAAAAAATGAAATGCTAGTTATGAAAATCAGTTAATTGAGATGATGAATAATTAATTAATTAGTTAATTAAAAGAGCTTAGATTTGAGACGAGTTAAAGTTTGTCACAAATAGGTCAGACAAACCTACCAAAAATTTAAGTAGGGACTGTTCAGTGAATCCACGTGTCAACCTGAATAGCATTTAAGCCTGGTTCGCAGAGGTTGGAAGGTAGGAAAGCGTGACATAAAATTTGAGGTTAGCCTCTAGTTCTGAGCCTTCAAAGGCAGAAATACAAAACCAAGTTTCAAACATTGCCCGTTTGTTGTAAGAGAAAATACTTCAGCATTTTGATCTGAATAAAACTATGCACCAAATTTGATAGAAATTTGATCCTTCCCTTAACTTGCAATTCTGCTCGGTACTTTACCACTCAACTGAAGTAAGTAGGAACATAGTAGAGTCACTGAGAAAGTGCATCAGTGATCCGAAAAGGGTATTTTAACTCCATGGCAAAGATTAACCATTTGGAAAGGCTCGGTAGCGAACTCACTGTACTGCTGGCATTAAATGGACATGCCACCCTGTTGCACTTATTGATAACAATTCTGAAATGCCTGGACTGAAAGAAGGTTCACTTTTAAAATTATTCATAGAACTTGAATTACTCAAGGGGAAAGTAAACGGCAGAGTCAGTGAAAATGCTTTTGACCACTTGCAGATTTGTGCGTTGATGGCATAGGGTTGCATGATACGTGTTCTGTAGTTTGATAGAACTGTATCATTTGTGCCATTTTCTTCTTAAGTTCAGTTGTCTTTTTTATAAAGACGAAGGTTGAACCGTCAAGAGAAGATAATGTTCCTCAGTTACGGTACTGTCTTCTTCAGAGCGATTTTGATTTATATTTGGACCAGAAAAGCTGGTTTGTGCCATCTTGTTCCACCGCCGCTCATTTTGTAGGTATCGAGGATGGCACAGATATTTAATCGCACTGATAATTTCAATTGCTAGCAGACAGGTCGTTAATTTGCCCTTGATGTACGCACATCAAAAGTGGATAAAAAAAAGATGAGTTTTCAACTGTTGGAATGTGTTATTTGACTGCAAGGGATCAGTATATCAAAATGTATTTTGCCCACTTACAAACTGGTGCCCTTAAGGCACGGAATCACGCCGTAAATGCTCTCTCTGGTTTCTATAATATAACTCCATGATTTAAACCAACCTCTTCGGAGTTTAAATTGTCTCTTTCACTTGTTTACAACTTTCTTTTTTAAGACGAAGGTTGAACCGTCAATAGAAGTGTTTGTGTCTCGATTGTGGTCTTGTCTCATTCAGAGTGATTTCTAACTATGTCCAAGGTTCGCATCCATGCAGTGCAGCTCTGTGTACATTTTTGTGCATACGTAATTTTACACCGTAAGCGGTTTTTTTCTTTTTGTATTTCAGGAACATACTAATCATGTAAATAAGTATATTATTTGAATGAACTTCAAAAGTTTACCCACTGGAGTTCAAACCTGCTAATTCTAGATTGAAATTCGAGCACCTAAATGTAAACTTCGTTACCTGGCTGTGATCTGTCGCATTCGTTGTTGCAAATGAGTTTAACTGCGTGAGGGTGGGAGGTTTTCTGTGATTTTTGTTCTCAGAAATGGGAAAATGAGAGGAAATTTTGAGAAGTGAGTCCGACATGCTTTCAACATCGCAAGCACAGAACGACTGAAACTTCTTGTTTGTTTCTGGCTGCATGCAACCTTCCCCCCCATGGGCTAGCCTCGACCGACGTCGCTAGCAGAAAAGGGTTTTTTAATGTCTTGGTTTAGTCTTATCAGAGTACCAGAAATTTGGCTCTCTTGATAGCAAGGCCAAAATAATGAGTGAGTGCGAACAGGAAAAAACAAACTTGCCCATATATTGGTTCTTTTTTGGGGGGGTCAACATGAAAAATGCTTGTAAGCAGTACCGAAGCGGGGAATACTCTCACTGTTTGAAATACTTGTGTTGGAAGTGGTGTTTACAGCAACAGAGACAAGCGGAAATTGTAACTCCAAGACGCCATCGAAAAGGTGTTAAAGTTGTATGTGCTATGGAAGACTAGGTCATCTCAGTCTACGTGCCCTGCGTGGAAGCTGTTGAAATGTTCGGACCTTACTTCCCTTTGAAGAAATCCTCAAGAGCCACGATTGTGGCCTTTATTCAAGTTGCGTTTTCCCAGTGTGTTGTGTAAAAAAAACGCGCTCGGTTAGCAAAATTAGTCGCATTAAAAAAATGTGGCATTTAATTGTATTTACATGTACGTCTTCCACATAGAATAGCTTTGAGTCTTGCAATTCACAGTGTACGAACTTGGACCAAACAATAACAACTGTTATTCTTGTGTCTTGACTGCACCCTCCCCTTATTAAAAATGTACTATTTCGTATCGAGTGTTTGTTATACATAGTAGCGCGTGATCTTCACTGCAAAAACTGACCACAGCAAAATGTGTTCGTTTAACACTGCTGGTGTTACTTTATATACCTGCAAGTGTAACAATGCACTGTAGAGTGTTAAAAGTAACACCAACAGCGCTGAAACACCAAAAATGTTAACACCTGTGAAAAGTGTCGTCATGGCCCTCCATTTTTTTTTTTTTTTTGCAGTGTTAAAGCAGACAGAGTATGCTCAAGTGAAGCTTATTAACTGAAAATTTTCTTGTGGAGGAGAAATAGTCAAAAGTAAATACATGTATGATTAGTGCTGTTTCCCGTGTCGCTTTGGTTTTTAACTCTGTATCTAGGTTTTTGTTTCTGCTATTAAGCGAAAGCCTCTCTGCTTAGCAACATTCAAATTGAAGCTTCAATCACGGGCTCGGTGATAAAGAACAGTAACCTCTCTCAAGTCGTCGATGTGGGAATATCGTCGTACACATTTTCACACTTTCGTTTGAACCAAGTGCAAGATGGCACACTTGAGATATGTCATTGAAATAAAGTAGGATAAAATGATGAGAATTTGATATTTTTGTATAAGTAAAATGTGTGTTGATGTACAAACCGAGTTGGATAGAGTGAGCAGTAGATAACGTTATTGTGGGTTTTGTATCGAGCAATTGTACATAATGAAATAATTGCGTGTAGGGTCACTTTCCGTTCTCCTGTCTCAGTTATCGTTTATTTAAAAGCTTCATTAATAGGCTGATTTTTTTTTTGTGTGTACATTTCATTAATGAGACACAAGTGCGATTTTGTGGAAGGGGAAGTGAAATTACACTGACAAAACCCTGCCTCGTATTCGCACTCTGAACCGAAAAAAAATACCAGAATGGCGTAGAAATCCGTCATTTTTCATTTTGTTTAGGTGTGACCGATGTGCGCTTTGTCGTATTGGTATATCTCTCGACTGGTTGTTGGTTAGTTTACAACATTTATTTCAAAGTGTTGTGGAGTCGATAGAAAAGACACATACCACCCGACACTTTGCATCGAGTGAAAAAGAAGTTTCCGAGTTGTGGAAGTATTTCTAAACCGCCGAGTTTGTGTGATTTATTTAACCAAGTTCTGGTTGGAAACTTCGATATGGAAACTGCAGTCATCGGCTTTACAGTGCAGAGTGCCGCCATATTGGCGAGGGGTTGACGTCACATTACCGTAGCAAATTCCTATGTGTAACCTTGCAGTAGCCTGTAACTCTTGGTGAAAAAGCAACACTGTAACGTGTAAATACGTTAGCTTCTGGGGTTTTTTTGTCTCCCTGCGCCTATTTATGACAGGAAATGTGACTTCAGGCGCTCTTTGTACAAAGGATCGAGTTTGAATTGAAGATTATACATAATAAAAAAAATGTTTATTATGAACTTCAACAAAATGGCTTAATGGTTTACATTTCCCCCGTATTTACGTTGCTGTTGTTTCCATAGTCGGCGTGTCGGACTCTGTTGTTTTCATTGATGAATGTAGACCCCTTTTTCGTTTACAATCATTGTCTTGCCGCATTGCCTGACCTGCCAAAATCTTCCGGAAAATCACACTTCGGTGTTCTCAATCAGTATTATTTTGTCAGTGGGGGTGTTTCTTATTTCGTGTTTCAGTAGCTACATGGGATTGTTTTAAATTAACACTTTTAATTCTTTTGTTCGTGTGCTGAATGCCTAGGGATGGTTTTCCAAGGCACCCTTGGGCAAAACTGCAACTATAAAAGGTATTATTCATATGAATATTGAAAACGGTCAATGTCCTGGTCTCTCTCCGGGGGGGGGGGTTGGAAAACAAATGGAGAGTTTTGCAAGCCACAAAAATCCTGTGCAAGTCTGTAGAGTTTCTTGAAATCTCGACAAACCTTTTCCTTGTGGAAAAGCCAATAATGAAGGTAGTATGTTTTGCCTCTTTTTAGCCTTGGTGGTGGGTTGGTTTTTTTTTTCATTACACTCAACTTGTCCGAGTTGCACCAGGAGAGCGGTGAGCGTTTTAAGCAAAAGAAAGTCTCCTTCTTAGAACTTCCCGCAGATGTGAGATCTTGTCTCTAGGCTTGGCAATACCAGAACCACTGGTGGTCGGAGGTGTACAGTGAATTCTATCTATTGCCAAAAATAGAGAGTTGAGAGTAGGTTTGGGCTGGCTGCGCATGCAGTCTTCGCAGGTGCTTTGGACTTGTGTCCTCTCCCTAACAAAGTCTGCATGCTTCCTCCACACGCGTATAAAACATTGAATCGCTCAGTGTTTTGATGTGACGTACAGAAAGTCCTTCTGTAACAATTTTCGAGTGCACAAAGGTCACATTAATTCTGGTTGTTATAGTAATGCCCGAAAATGATTCTTTCACAGATCTGAAACAGGCACTTCAAAAAACAACGAGTTTTAAGCTGTCGGTGTCTTGCCTGAAGTAGAAAAACACTGAGCTCTTCTGTTCATCTTTTACCATCGACCACAATGACGAATCAGAGGCCATTGCAACCCCTGGTTCGCCGAGGTTGACTTTGGTCTGGTCAGCTTAAAAAGCACGCTGGCATGATGTGTCATTGAGGGCTTGCCGTCATTAACGACACCTTGTACGTCTTCTTTGCGTCACTCCGGTGCTATAAATAATGTAATTTTGCTTCATCCACGAACTAGGTTTCTCGAACAAGCCTCTTGCAATATAAAACGCTGCGTTTGTTTCGGACGTCTTTGTGGATCAATTCCAAGATTTTTCAGCCATGTTTATTCTTCTCTCGACTTGTAATACTAATTACTGGAAAGTTCAGGGACCGAGTTAAGTTTTAAGGCAGAGCTACCTGATCAGACTTAATGAGGCTAATCGATTGGTTACCACAAGTAAAAATGACTAAAAACAATCATTGGTAAGTATGCGACCAACCAATCAGTTGGTCGCTTATCTGCCAAATTGTTATTCGTTATTTTAACCAATTTGTCATTTAAATCCATTTTTAAAACCACGACAATGTAATGATTGATTTGACCAAATGACAAAAAGTTAGTTCTTAAACGTCCTCTGCTAAAAAGAACTCGAAATACACAATACACTTCAAGACGTAAGAATTGCCTGAACCTTCTGTTGTGGCAGCTGGAACTATTATTCAAAAATGGGTAGAAGTTGTCTGCTTAGAATTAAAGCAAGGCGAGCATTATTGATCAGCTACTCCTAGAAACCTGCGGGACTGGGAAATGACGAAGGACCTCGTCTGCTAGAAATGACGCAATTTCTCATGTCTTACGTAACACCGCCAATCCCAAGGAACAATGCTGTGTCATTAGTCGGATATTTTCCCCGTCAAATCTACGGCTTCTCCGGACGTACCGCTAATGATTCCTAGTGCGGCATCTTCTCTTCTGTGCGAAACCCCGTCCCGACCGAGAGCCGTGTGAGACGCCGATCCCAGTAGTTCGTCAGCCTGCGCCATGCTTGCCACTAGCAAAGATTGCCGCATGTTACCGGAAAAAGCAATATGTGCTAGTGCCAAACAGGGTGTAGGCAACATTACCATGGTCGCTTCGGGTCCTGTTGGAAAGCAAAAATTAATCCTTTTTTTACACAGGTTAGAGTCCCTTAACCGAAACAGCTAAGCAAAGACAACGTAATCACAACAAATACGAAATTGACGCTGCAAACAAAGGAAGTTACGGAAAATCAATATGCCGACTACTGCTGCACTTGTGATCTGATGAAGAATATTAAATGGATGTAACATCTGAACACCAGACTCTAAATATACAAAATACTCGAACCAAGAAAGCCACAGAATCGCTGTAAAAAGTCTTGCTTAAAGGTGGGCAACATTGTAAACGACTACATGTGTAGACCTTGGAAAGTTAAGAAATGCAATGAGTAAACCGTAAAAGCCAAGCAGAAGCACGTGAAAATGCTTAGTAGTGGTGTTTGGGAACACGATATGAAACGGCCATTTCAGGTGTCAAAAGGGCCTGACATTTTGACAGAGTTCTTGCAAGTAAAAGGAGAGAAGCCTAAGTCCTGTTTGTTAAAGGGTCCGTGAAAAGAAAATTGCACGTTTTTAAACGATACCCAGAATGTAAAGTTATTGTTTTGATTAATAAGTGGGTGCAAAATAATTCGAAAGTTTTTGACCCGCCCCCGAGGGGTACCTCATTAACACAGAAAATTTGCATATATGTGACGTACATTTGAGAAGACGTTGTCGCGCGCATCAATGCAAGTCTCAGGTCGAGTTTGCAAACTTCAGCCCAACCGGTGTTTTAGGGATCATGCTGATCAGATTCGTTGCCACAGGCAGCGGCAACACCTATAAAGATTGGATAAGCCTGCAAAACTCTCCAACCAAAGCGAAATTTACACCAATTTGAACATCCAAAGACAGGCTGACCAGGGCCAAATGGTCAGGACCGACAGAGAGCTGCTATTGCAGTGCGCGTTTCTATTCGAGCCAGAGTGTTTTCTTCCGAACACTCAAGAACTGGTCTTGCTGAAGTCAGACGCCGCGCCAACGATCTGCGGGAAATTTTTTTAAAAATGCCCATGGACAAATATGAAGATCAGCTTTTATGATAGTTTCCAAATCGGCCCACACTACTTCACTCAATACGTTACCGGTATACAATTTCTCATACGTTGGCTGTACCGCATGTGCACCTGCTTTTATTGTGTGCATGGGCATCGTGTACATGTACTGTACATGTACTGTACGTATTTTACGTTCGAACATTCCACGGGCACGCCAATTGCGCGTGTCCAGTGTACGTGTTCCTCTCGGGTCTGAACGTCCCAGTGAGCAAAATTAGGGCATTGACAGTTGGTTTCAGGTGGCAAACAATGTAGTGAAAAGACTGACACGTCAATGGCGTTATGAGCCCCGAGCTGGACCAAGAGAGGGCGTAATTTCCCTAGTAACTGCCATGCCTCCGTTGGGAACTGCACTTCGCTGGCTCAAGAACGGCTGTGAAATGCAAGCGGTAAGGTCGCGTCGCTACCAATAAAATGATCACTCCCCACCATTAACGGTAACGCGGCCCTTTTCAACCGATGAAGGGGTGCATCTGCTACGCGGATACAGAGTTCAGAGGCTGTCTTCCCCCGACCACAATGCCCTGAGATATCCTGTTGCCGTGCACGGGTGATCATCCGTCATTTCATGACACGGCATTACAGAACTCACTGACGGCATGCGACATGAAACAGTGAATTCTACAGTGCCATACATGAAACTGAGGAAAATATGGCACGGTACAACGTTGTCGTATCATGCCTTGGATAGTTCTTGGGCACAGGCCTGAAGTAGCCTATGTCGAGAAGGGCTTACTAATGTCTTTCGGTATTGAGGCCGCGAAATGGTATAGGGCCTACGTTACTCAATCTTAGCAGGTGCACGTGACAAGCAAGAGCAGGAACGGGTTAAGTCCGTAGTACCACGGTGCTCTTTGATACTTAAGCATGTGAATGGCTTTTACCAAAATCAGAACAAGTCAAAAGAATCAGAACTGGTCAACTTTCAGAACTTACCTCATACCACAAATAACCGAGCGACGACATCAACAGCAGGCCTAATGGTCGAAACGACTGAAGTTGTGTCTTTATATAGGGTCCAGGTACAACAAAATTGACCTAAGTTTAATGCTAAAATAATGGTTATGATGAAAATGATAACAATAATGTCGTGTAATGATGAAGTGAACAACACGGGTCAACCTATAGGACTTGGTGCCAAGTATGTAACGCCCACACGCCACGAACTACACGGTCTAGCATGTATTTCTACCTTTGCGCAGGAACGTTGGTTGCTTCGTCCCAAACTTGCAAACGATCAACCGTTCAAGAAGCCTTTTGCGAGTTAAGTTTGAATAAAATCTGGTACACTGAGTTCTTTAAATTCATATGAACATAACAATTTGAATTCTCCATACTAAAGACATTGTTACCATACCTCGTGATGGGGCAAGCCAGTGTTGTATCGAGTCACTAAATTTGGGGACTCGTGTCGAGTTATTTAACATTGTGACTCAAGTCGAGTCATTAGGTCAAGAAGTAGAGTCGAGTCAATGTGTGGTCAGGTCGAGTC